TCTTGGGTCAAATGGAGCAATTATCGTTTCAGTGCTGACCTTGTGGACAGAGCCAAATGACGGACTTTACATGGAAAGAATCTATGTATACATTGTCCTAGACCCAAAACGAGCCACGACAAGTCTCGATACCATGCATAATGAATATAATCTAATGATAGGCTAGGCCGATGTGAAGTTAATGGTCCTGGAACGCTTAATGATAATATTCATGTGATTGAAACGTGCTTTGATTTTCGTATGTGTCGGAGGTGAGAACTCACAAGCAGATTCTTGGCCAGAAGGTTGGAATTCACCCGTCTTGGAATGGTATGTCTGACTGAAAATCATCACTACATGGTGTTTTAAGAAAAACCTGCCAATTCGTTTTTTTTAAGGAATGATAGTAAATTTCATCCGAAAGGATTTCACAAACTATATGTGGATATATTAAAGGAGGTTTTTGTGCATTTTTAACGATATCGACCCAATGCCTCACGTGCTATACTGTTTAAAACTTGAAGGTTAAGAAAATGCACCAGACATCCTTGACGCTGATGATTTCCATCATTCATTACGAAAGGACACGGTTCCTGCGTCATCTTCTGATTTGAGGGCTCTAAACAGAAAATATATCTTTATGGGAAAATGGAAGAACGTGTAATAAAGGTAGGCAATAAAGGTAGCATATATGTGCTGACAGATCAATTACATGCCATAAATGAAATAGTCCACTGTGATTCAGAACAACAACACGATCAGGGATTGGAGACGGAAAAACATGCGAATAAAGGCGGAAAATGCGCGATATGGGCCTGGATAGGGTGCTGTTCGTTCATGCCTGGCATTCAGACGACCAGATGGAATCTTTGAATACTGTAAAAATATCCATTCTCTCAAATCTTTTTCATATCTCTCATGTAATCAGATCTCGATCAACTTATGGCAAAAACACTTTGCATCCAATTGCGATGAAGACGTTCGGTAAGGCTGACACTTACGAAAATGTCTTATAGGATTCCTATATATTCCTATAGTAACCTAAAGGAATCCTATAGGTTCCTATAGGGTATAGGCCCCATAGGGTACAGTTTGGGACCTATACGGTTCCCTATAGAACCTATAGGGTTTCCTATAGGGCCAATACGGAACCCAATAGGCACACCCGTGATCATCTGAACATTTAAAACATTTGCGTTTATGTCTGACTATCATATGCGTGCCGTTGCAAATGTCGCTCCCAATCTGGAGATTCCACAGAAGCATTGCATTAGCTCCAATGGTAAGGTTTAGGACGTGGAGAAGGTGACCCGGAGGGTTAAGACAGTTGAAGAATGCAATCGGAAATTTGACCTGCCGATCGGGATGATCGCTCCCAGTTCCCAATGATCGTTCTTCGCGTTGTCGATACGGTGAGGAATCCGCCTTCCCCTTGCAATCGAGAAAACACATTCTCATTGCTCACTCTTGGGACACAGAATTATAACTACCCGTACCTAGCCTACTGAATTCTGATTTCCAAAGAAATGTCGTCCCGAACCTTCAATGGCCAAACAGGCATACGAATCCACTCTCAACCGACTCAACTTTCTTTTTTCCAAACACTTTCGCTGCCGTTCACGCCATATGGCGTGTTTGTGCAAGTCGCACTAACAAATAATGAAGCATGGAAGATTTGAAACTAAACCCTAATGCAAAAATTTTCTCCATTATTTTACCATAGCATTCGTTGCTTACTGATTTTCCCATTGTTTCAAACTTTTATGTATTAAAATCGCATAGATATCTTGCTCATATCTAAGTCTCATTTTTCGGGGGGCAATCCAAAAACTGTATATGTAGTTGAGCTAATACACAACAAACCGTTCCTTCTACCTGTGACCCTTACGGAAATGTCCTATAGGAAACTTTTAGCTATTTCTTATAGGAAACCTATAGACTTTCCTATAGGTTTTTGAAACACAAAATACCTATATGATCCTTTAGAATCCTATAGGATCCCTATAGGGTCTTATAGATCTCCTGACCTATAGGACTCGGGGAGGATATTTTGGGTTTCGAAATCCAGGCATTACGACGGAAAAGGCGACCGNTGAGAGATATGAAAAAGATTTGAGAGAATGGATATTTTTACAGTATTCAAAGATTCCATCTGGTCGTCTGAATGCCAGGCATGAACGAACAGCACCCTATCCAGGCCCATATCGCGCATTTTCCGCCTTTATTCGCATGTTTTTCCATGGTAGGGGGGACATGCATTACTAATACCAGTACTGCGAGGGTCTGCATAATTCATGACCCTGCCCAACATATGTCGCTGGATAGCATGTATACTTCCTTCGGTAGAGAAAAGTATCATAGTATTCTTCTCTGGACCTAAGGAAATATAAGACAGAACCTGCAAGCACGTCTCTTTACTGAAACTCCATTTGGATGGAGTCCACTCATTATCGTACGTGGTTTTCAAAAGGAATAAGGGCATAATTCTTCACGGGACTGCATGGTTCTATCTGGAAGATGGGGATGACAAAGAAGGAACTGTTGAAGTTTATTGATTGCTACAATGAGGCAAGGCGAGGCATTTAGGGACGTACAAAACTCTCTTGTGAGAGATGATTCCTTGGGTAAGGGGAGGGAACTTTTGTGCCCTTTGAGAAATGTGAGAACCCAATACTTCCATCTAGTGGCCTAGAGGAGAACTTCAAACGGAACCCTATAGGCCTATAGGGTTCCGTATAAGTCCTATAGGGATCCCTATAGGTCCTATAGGGAACCCTATAAGTCTTATAGGGAACCCTATAGGTCCTATAGGGAACCCTATATGTCCTATAGGGAACCCTATAGGCCCTATAGGAACCCTATAGGTTCTATAGGGAACTCTATAGGTTCTATAGGGGACTCTATAGGTCCCGAACTGAACTCTATGGGGCATATAGGAACCTATAGGATTCCTTTAAGTTCCTATACGATTCCTTTGGGTTACTATAGGATTCTTGTGGAAATATAGATATATAGGAATCCTATAAGACATTTTCGTAAGGGGAATGAATACGGCATGCATTGAAATTTAAACACAAAATTTTGCAGGTTCGCAATCAAGAAGTCGAACTTTTCTCAGAAGAGGTCTGTACCCTTACGGGAAAATCCTATAGGATCCTATAAGATTTTCATGTTTCAAAAATTTTATAGGATCCTATAGGATTTTTCCATAAGGGTAAATCACGTCTAAGATAACCTTGTTTTTGTAGTAGGCTTTGAAGTGAAGTCTTTTTCTTCGCCCACAATGTTCCCCTGTCTTTCTGCGCGTCGGAGGCCTGCACGGGTTGACTTTCCCGAGTTGAAACTCGACCGGTCTGATTGGAATCGTGGCCCGCACCTGACCGGGAACGCGGTCGTCGACCGAGCTTTGCTGCTACGAATCGCGGATCGTGTTGTGCTGATGTGGCCAGTCCGCATCCCACTTAGGCCTCTAAGCTTGAGAACACCAGGTCTGTGATGACGTATTTGCGCCTGGGAGGGGAGGACGAAGGGACCCTTGCAGATCTGCGCAGAAACGCAGTTTCGCGTGTAACAGTTCAGAATGAAGGTCATTCTGTGCAAGGTGACTGGGTGGCGAAGCGTGCCTCTGGCATGATAAACCGCAGAAGACAAACATCTATGGAAATCTGAATCTCATGAAAACTTCCCTATGCGCCAAAAAAAAACCTCTTTTGTAGGGATGGGTTCTGCGAATTCGATGCCCGGCCATCTCTCATCCATAGGAATATGTATAATACATAATAGGATAATCTGTTTGCGTCAGGGTGTCAGTCAGGGGAAACTCTTCCTAGGCAGATGAACCGATTTTCATGAATCACACGTAAATCGAATGCTTATGACCGAAGGCGATACTTCCTATATCGAAAGTTCAAGAAATCGTCCCATTTTCATGCAATAAGGCCAAGTTTCAGCCAATAAAAACAGCATTATATCGAACGCTTCCTGGGAGAGGTCCTCACACGTCATAACCCGCACTCGACCTGAAACTTGATTTCCGAACAGACCTATCCAAAGCCTGTTTTGTCCTTTGAACTTCAGAACTCAAGGTCTCAAATGATGCCACCTGGTCTGGGGACCTGGGTGGCCAAAGTCCCTTTGAGAAGTCCCAAAGTCACTCGTTCCTTGAACACAGTTTTGAACATGTCGCAGTGACTTTGAAGAGCTCTGTTCAAGTCTGTTCCTTCCACAATTTCATTCGATTAACCTGGTCTCCTGCTGCGAGGTCTAGCGAGAACGCTTCCTGTGTCACGAAATCGCTTCACCAGCTTCCAGATTGCAGACGTTGTTGGCACCAGGCGGATGTTGAACTTCTTTTGAAATGCTTTCTGACACAGCTTGTAAGATTTATGATTCAGATAAGTCTCAACAAGGAAAACACGGTGCTCCAACGTGAACACCATACTTGAAACTGAATGACTAAGCGAAATTCTGGCTTAACACTTGTGCACTGAGAAAACATTCTCCTAAATATATTTGATAAATGTTGAACTATAATTGTGCAATGTAGGAAGGGTCCACCTTGTATAGTATAGACAAAATGTGTATATGTTTGGGTTTCCTGACTTTACGATCACCCTGTAGTATGAAACATTGTCGGCAACGGAAGTTGTTTTTATGGTAACTGCTGCCAACGATCATATACCATACTTTTTCGCGTTACCAGTCTCATCCCTGGTTTCAGATAGTGCTTCACGCGAGTTTGCAGCATTGAGTTGGTGCTCCAATATTATTATTTTATTTTCAAAGTTTTGGCGTTCTCAAAATGCCCGAAAAAGTGTGGATGTTTAAACTAGTCTGTGGCGGGATTTACTGAGCGTGCGAGAAATAGAGAAGTTCTGGAGTCACAGGCAGTGGATATGCATTCATGACGACGTTTACAGAGCGCTGATTCGCAGGCTGCTTCCAGGAATAGTGAAACTGACGCAGAAAGGACAGAAAGGCTTGCACGAAATGTTCGCATTCCACATATTTCAGCCAATGCGCGCACGGGCTTTTAGACTAGTATTATAAATAATCGTAGAGGTTTATGTGATGCAGAGCGCTCTTGAGGTGATCCTTAGTTTTTTCCTGCACTTTGCTTCTGATGAGTTGCTGGCTCTCCCCCGAGAACAATATCTGGAATATCACAAAGAGGATGGCAGCCAGGGGAGGACAAGTCACAGCCAGCGTTGTAGCCAGCGCCGAGAGGTAGAGTGTAGTCCATATCGGCACTGAATATCTGGGGGAAACATATTATCATCATTGGGGAAATTTCGGACATTGAGAGCGGAGTCAAATAAAAATAAGCTCACTTCAATTAAGGAATTTGGAAGTCTGTAAGGGCAATTTCTCCTATGGTGGAGTCGATACTTGTTCGCAAGTCTATCTCGACACCATCAAATTTCATGCCCAGTGAAGGACTCCCAATAAAGGGTACATCAGGGGTACGTTGCACCTATGAGACAACGAAAGCATGACGAAAACAATTTCCGCTTAGGACGGCATATGAAGCAGAAACATTGGAGCAAAGGAGCTTTCTGCAAAATCATCGTCAAAAAATGTTAGAAAAAGTAGTGGTTTAGCGATCTTCATAAAATCTGCCATACAAATTCATACTAGTGTACAATGATTTACTGGATAATTTAGTTCTAGGAGTCAATGAAAAATATTTAATTAAAAAACTCCATAGATGCTTCAATTTCAGTAGGACCCCTGGGGCATTTTTTTCTGGTCGTTGCAACTGTTGGATCTATTCTCGAGAACGTAGTAGCCGGGGGGGGGGGGGGGAGCTTGGATGACAAAAGAGGCTCAAAAGAAAATGATGGAGAGGGTGGGAATCGAACATAGGGTCTCAAGTCGATCTTAAGTACCGAACAAGTGTCCTTCCACTACGCCACCTAACCCAAGCCGCAGACTAATACATCACAGGTGGGCTATCTCCAGTTATTTCTTAGCTAAGTAGCTAGCAGTAGTAACAGGTACATGCAGCGTGGCGTAAGACCAATAACGTTTGGAAGCGTGCGCGGCGGGTTGCAATTTGAGTAGCGTGAGACCGTCAAAAAAAATCCCACATACCACATTGTCCTACGAATGGACGATGTAACCCTTACGAAAATGTCCTATAGGAAACCTATAGACATTTCTTATAGAAAACCTATAGATTTTCCTATAGGTTTTTGAAACACGAAAAACCTATAGGATTCCTATAGGGTCCTATAGGACTCCTATAAGTTTTTCGTGTTTCAAAATCCTCTAGGACGCTTGTCCCATAAATTCCTATAGGTTGTCTTGGTTTCAAAACCCTATAGGATCCTATAGGACTCTTATCCAATAGATTCGCCTATATTTTCTAGGTTTCAAAAGTCTATAGGTTCCCATTGGACATTTGAGCTTCATAATTCTTATTGGTTTCTTGGGTAATCATGCCATGCAGAACCCTTGTTAACATTGTACCAATTTCATTCCCCTTGTAAATTTTTCTAATGGGAATCCCATAGGTTTTTCAGGATATAAAAATGTGGACCTAAATTCGTGAGATGCGACTTTGATTTTCAAATTTCCTTCTGATGCCGCAATCCAATTTCGACATTCCATATTTTCTTTAAGGAGAATTGGAATGAGGCAATTTTCAACAGATAATGCAGTAAGACTGTGAAGAATCACTACTCTCATATACAATATACTTTGTGTGAATTACATGGACGGTTTCCTGTGAATGTAGCAAAATTAGCATAATTCTTGACGCATGGTATATTTATTTCCTGAGAAAACCATGATATCTAAACAACAAAAAAAAAAACGGTTTTTCGTGGATGGAAGGAAAAAAGAACGGAGGAAAATACAAAAAATGATGCTACATATTTCTGTTCAGCGTGCCAAGCTGCTCTTTCTCAGCCACTTGGCATCGTCGTTGCACTTTTGACGCAGAGCTTGGTGAACTTTCTGCATTATCTCCGCTTGCCCCTGGAATCTGGTCTCCATAAATTCTGCAGAAAAAAGGAAGTTAAGTAATTAGGTTTGCTTCTTCCACACTCAAATACGTGGAAATACATTATATTGGTGCGGAGAAAACTACATTCCACCTTTAGATCCAATGCACTCCATGAAATAGTATTACATCCTTTTGATAGAACATTATTAAATGCCGAACTAACCAACAATCTTCTTCACTTTTTCTGGGCACAATTGTGGTTTCCTTTCCTTTCCTTTATGGGCATTTGATGCTTTTCCAGATAAGCAATGGGTGCCAAGGACTTCTCTGCCGAAAACGATTACAGCAAGATCTTTTGTGAAACCCGATAATTCCGGGGCAGTGATTCGTGAGATCTTTTCGGTCATCTGCAACAGACATGAAGAATAATATATAAATGAAACCGAATGAAATAATATAGAAGTCCTTTGAATAAGTAGGATGCACTTAGGATTTTATATTTCAAGATCATAATATGAGGATAATGGCCTCTGACATTCTCCCAGTAGTAGGAACAATATTTCTTAACCTCAATATGATTTTCCATCTAACGCCAGTTGTGACTTGGGGAAGGAAAAGTCACAATTATGTATTGGGAAAATTTCATAACCAAATATGCGTTTAAGATGTTCACAAAAATTGCTACTTCCAATTGAGGGCTAATATCCGTATAAATAATAATACTGCAAAAGCTCAAAATGAAATGGACAGCGAAAAAATTGAATGGTGATTGAATAATGAAGACCATAAAAAAGAAGCACTGCAGAGGTACGTAATGGTGTAGTATTTTTTAAGGTTAATTTTTGACTCATCACCAAATAATATTAAATCTGTCACGAATCTGCATCACTGCAGGCAGTGAAGGCGTTTGACTTGTTTCAATGCCCTAAAATGCTCTATTTGTCATAGCACCTCTAACACACAGAGCACACTGAAACTAGACGTCAGCGCCGTACTGAACACATATTGAAATACATGTACACAAGCGCAAGGACAAAGGAGTTACACAGATCTTCCCTGAAAGCCCCCCCAAGCATGATATGATCTTACAATCACATTTATCCATCGGCACTCCGGAAATAAGTAAAAATCCATTATTTTACAGGGTTGCAAATTCTGACAAATTCATGTTTGATGAGAGTTTTTTTGGTGCTGGTATTGAAAATTTGGTGATACCAGAACTTGTGATAGTGCAATCATATTTGATTAAATAAAAAATATGAATTAGGTGAATGACTCCAATTTGGAAAGGATTCATTGTGGTCTGGTAACAGATTCAATATTTCTGTGAGCTAAAAATAATTCGTGACTAGTTCATTATGATTGGTAGGTGATTAAATGTATTTCATTTCTTAATATCATGTTGTTTTCACTCTTTCGCTTCAGGCTCTTCTCGCGACAGACACTCCTCTCCTCATAAAAACATGAGTAAACAATGGTTCACACCTCCGTTGAATAGAGTGAAAAGGACTGGGCGCTTTCTGCAAGAATCCCCAATGTTGAAAATGCATCGTCTGAAACATTTCCCTCCACGGTCACAGATGGAAATGAAATTGAGAATGAAGTAGCGTCTTGCTCCTCCCTTCCTCTGTCCTGCTCCGTCCTCAGCAATTTTGGAAGTTCTTTTGGAAGTGGAAAAGTCCATGTGCATGAAAGAACGCTTTTCCTAGACATACTCTTGAATCAAGAAACCTGCATTCATCACATGACAAACAAAAATGTTGATTTTCACCATCCTTCAAACTCATTTGGATGTTGCTTGATGCTGAAATTATGAATTTATAACTGCAGACTCCTTCGTTGTGAAATGTCGCTGGAAGATTCGTTTTAAATCGCCTACGCTCGCTGACTAAAATGAAAGATTTCCTTACCTACATTCAAACCCACTGAAATCAATACAACCTGCAAATTACATTAAAGTAATTCAGCTGGAGTAAAGTCATACAAAATTCAGGTAATAGGGTTCCAGTCCTATTTTACCTATCCTGTTACCGCTCATCCGTCTTCGGAACTTCGCTTTGAAGAAACTCCAACGGAACTATTGAACTGTTGGCAGTGGTGAGTAGGTACGAGGGGCAAACTAAAACATTCTGGAGTCATTTTCTCCACCATTAATACATTTAGGAAGACTCACTTAGGGATGAAAAGGTTAACTCATACCGAATGGGATATTCATGAAAATGCTGGACTGTGTATCACTCCATCTTTTAGCCTTTCTTTAAATTTCGAGTTCCCTTTTGCACCCTAATGGAAGTATTATCAGAGTAGTATACACCGATGGGCCTTTGGAAAAAAATACAAAGACCAAGGAGATCTATTAAAAGGCAAAAGATGTGAGAAAAGGAAATAATCATCATTTGCAATTCAGTGCAATTTTCGAGTGCCAAAGTCTCTTCTGGATGGCAGGGACTCTTATTGTAGACTAGTGTAAAAGCCCGTGCATGCACGGACTGAAACAATTCGAATCAGAACATTTCGTGTTTGACTTTCTGTTCTTTCTTCGTCAGTTTCACTGTTTATGGAGGCAGTCTGCGTAGCGGCGTTTTGTGAACTTCGGCATGCACTTTTATCGACTGACTGGGACTCCAGAACTTCTATTTTCTCTTACGTTCAGTAGATCCCGCCGCTGAATAGTTTACAGTTCCCCACTTTTCGGGGCATTTTGAGAACGTCAAAATAAAAATAAAAATAATTTTGGATCACCAACAAAATGCTGCAAACATACGTGAAGCACTGCCTTAAACCGGCGACGGGACTGGGACGCGATATGCCTTTAGAGTGCCAACATTCGCGACACTCACCCTAGCGTGATTGCGATCCAGGCCAATTCGTTTAAGGATGTTGCAAAGCGAAAAAAAAAAAGGGACAAGGGAGGGAGGAGGTAAGAGAGGAGGGAAGCGGATGAGTGGAATAAGATGAATGGACAAGGCTCTTATCTTCTAATTCGAGGGCTCTAAACAGAATTTATGGGACGCAGCATGAAACTGGAAGAATGTGTCAGAATGGGCTATAAAGATAACTTATATGTATTGACAGATCATTTCCCTGTCAGAAACGAAATAGTGTACTGCAATTCAGAACGACACGATAGAGAATGGAGGCGGAAACATGTGAACAGGGGCGGAAAATGCGTGGATATGGGCCTGGATAGGATACTCTTCGTTCTTGTCTGGCATCAGATGACGCGATAGAATCTTTGAATACTGTAAAAAAATATACATTCTGGCCAATATTTTTCCATACCTCTCATGTAGCCAGATCTAGATCAACTGATGTACAAAAAAGCTCAGCCTTGCCGAATGTCTTAATCGCAGTTGAATGCAATGCGTTCGTGCCATGGTGGAATAGGTGCCTGGAAAATATTTATTAAGATTCCACATTGACGCGACTCATCCGCGTCGTCCAAAAATACGTTAGCAAGCGTATCAGATACGTCAGATACGTATCAGAGCGCATGTGGCCGCAATTGTAGGCCTTCTACCAACGGACCTATACTTTTTGTCGCGGCTCATCGAATAAGAACAGTCTTAGATTCCCGCTACCAAAATTCGATCGACGGTTCATGATGATCTCCCAGTATGCGCAAAAATAGCAAAAAATCAGTTCAACATGTGTAAACAAATATGGGAGGAACAATGAAATACCAAGAATCGCGACCTATGCGTCAATGAAACGGAAATGAAATGGATGGTCCTTAAGAATGAACTTCACAATCAAAGAAATACTTCTTCATAGACACCATTTTCGGTAACAGTGCTAGCATCAGTGCTGCTTTGCTTTGCTTTGCTTCGCAGGAGACACGTCCATTCCACGTTTCAGCTTTCCATGTCTCTCCGTTTTATTCAAGCAACGGGACATGGAAGGAAAGAGAAGCCAAAAAAAAATGCACAGACTGGCCGGGAATTGAACATGGGCCTCACGATTACCGGTCAGATGTACTACTACTACACCACCGAAAGGACGGCGTACAATTGTATTTCTCGATGACATCCTTATCCATCACGATATATATTTAAAAAAGCTTATCCCCCCCCTGAATGTGTACCCCCAGGGCATGTACCTCCAAAGTCGGATTTTTTCTGAACTCTGCACCCCTAAAGGTACATGTGTACCAAGTTTCAGATTTCTAACCTTTCTGGAACATGGTTAGAATTAGATTCAGTTAGTCAGTCAGTCAGTCACGATCGTCTATATACTGTATATTAGAAGATAGGCTAGGCCGATATGAAGTTAACGGTCCTGCAACCCTTAATGATAATATTCATGTGATTCAAACGTACTTTGACTTTAGTCTGTGTCGGAGGTGAGAACTCACTAGCAGATTCTTGGCCAGAATGTTGGAATTCACCCGTCTTGGAATGGAATGTCCGATTGAAAATCATCCCCCCATGGTGTTCCACTACCACCATCTTTATTGCCATCTATTAAACCATATTATCCAGGGAATATTATCTCTGAAAAATGAGGAAGATTAGTGGGATTAGAGAATTAGTGGGCAATAAAGATATGAGCAATGAACGCGGGAGGCGCAATTTTATATTTATTAAATCATCTCAATTTCATATGAATTAACCTCAGGTTATCATCGATTTATACGAGTACTCGGTGAATTAACGTTGCATTATCGAGTGGGCGATGATTTGCATTATCCATGTACCTTTATGAAGCGATTTTTCGATTTGAAAAATATTATGGCATGAATCTCGCGGCATAAATTCCCCGTTTCAATTGACTAATATCTCCCGTCATTACCGCTTCACATCAAGGTAATCGATGGGGGTCGGATGGAAGGATCGATTACGCCAACGTGTTTGGACACATTATCTCCTATG